GTCCCCATCCGTGAAGATTTTTTTTTTTTTTTAAATAAAATAATAAATTAAAATATTAGGATTTTGTGAAGGGGACGGATGTCAACACTCCGTTGAAGGTAAACGGATGTTGTATCCGTTTGAGCAAGGGCAAATTGGTATGGGGTGGTGCAGGAAGCGCTTCGTGGTGGGTGGAGGGACAACTGCCCATCTAATTATGTATAGCTGGGCCACGCTGATATTGGCCCAAATTTTCAATGATCCGATTGACGTTATTCACCAAAGAACTATCTTACTGGGTGTTGGCTCCCTCCACCCCCACACATTCTCTTCCTCCACCTCCCCTTTGACTATTTTGCCCCTTCCTCCACCTTTCCTTTACATTTGCCCCTCAGTAAATTTTTTTTTAAAATTGTTGTTTTTTATTTTTATTCATTTATACATATTTCACTGTAACCTACTTAGTTCCTTTATGAGTAAAATATTTTTCTACAAAGCTTGGTGATCGTGAAAAGAATTTATCAAACCATCTTCTTCTTGTTCTCGTTGCAGTACGTGTGCTTGTGCGTTATGTTGTGTGTCCTTGTCGTGTGTCCCTTGTCGTGTTTCCTCTCCAGGTACGTTTCATAATCCTTCCAATATCCTACACCCCAAATCCCTCCCATACTTCCAATAATCCTTTAATATCCAAGCCTCATAATCCGTGCATGAGCCGCAAACACGTAGTAAAATAAAAAAGAAAACGTAAAGAACACTGCCTCTGGAAGGATGCATCCTTCAAAACGGATGTCAACATCGTGAAGGCAAAAGGATGTCACATCCGTTTTAAGGCAAAACGGATGAGTCACTCCGTGAAGGTCAAAACGGATGTTCGACATCCGTTTAAGGCAATTTAAAATATAATAAAATAAAAAACTAAAAACTTTAAAAAGAAAAAAACTTCAATGCGTTTTAATAAATTTTTAAAAAGTATTTTAATTATTATTTAAAATAATAATACATAAATTAAATTAATAATAATTATTTTATTATAAAAATAAAATTAATTTATAAATAACTAAGTAATAATTTTTAAAAAAAGTAAATAATTAAAAAACTTAAAGAAACTAAAAACTTAAAAAAACTAAAAACTTAAAAAAGAAAACTAAACGTAACGGATGTGGCACATCCGTTGAAGAATTTTTTCTTCAACGGATGTCGACATCCGTTCAAGAGAAAAGGAGGAGGTATAGGATATTTTAGAATATGAAAGATAATTTTGGAATTTAAAAAAAGTGTGGTGGTGCAGGAAGCAATGTGTGATGGTGTAGGGAGTAACTCTCATATGATGGTCTTTAGACCCTAGCCATTGTGCCTCATTAGATTTGGCCCAAAATCATGGTACCAACACACGAACAACGCTTCAAACAATATGTTGATTTTAAAAATGAAAATTTTAACATTTTTTTTTCTTTCTTAAATAACCTTTTCTCACATACGCATTATATCTAAAATTAATTAATTTATTTCATAAATAAAATATTCATCATTAACATTAAAATCACATCTCCTCATACTTTTTACTTTCTAAAAATATCCAATCTCATATTTCTGTAACATATTTTTTATTAATCGTATTAGTTGAAGTAAATCTATACTATGAAATAAAATCTCCATTCGTTTTAGTAACAAGAAAGATAATGTAATTTGGTGATATTTAATCAGGACTTTTCTTGTAAGGAATTTGATGGATTTTATGCAACTTTTTAATAGAATGTATGAATATTATAATAATATTACCTAAATCGTGTTTTTCTAATTTTTTTTTCTCTTATTTCATGTAATTTCTTCGATCTTTGTGGAAGACAGTATACGCTGTTGTACGCAGTTGTGATGAATTTTTCTAACCAAATTGCCGTGTTCACTCATGTTATTAAGTAGTGGTAATTATAGTTGTAAGTCTATTGTTCAAACGTAAAAAAACACGACGAAGAGAATGTGAACAAACGGTTAGTACAATAGAACAAAAAATTACAATCAAAGATTGAAAAAAAAAATTATTGTAATGGTTCTATTTCTTTATATTTTTTTAGTTTTTTTTTTATTAATTATTGCAATTTGAAATTTATATAAAAAACTATGGAATTATTTTAAATCCTATAAATTCATGAAATTCTTTATAATTCTTACTGTCTAAATATATTAAGACATGAACTACAATATTGTAATAATAAGTTTTTTAATAAAAAAAGTTTGACGTATCATATTTATACCTGGGGCAAGACTTTTTTGTACCAAAGTATTATAGTATAGAGGACTGTTGAATTAGAACTTGTAAAGATTTTTTAAAAGAACAGATAAAAAGTATTCGGTATTATTAGATCAAAACTTTCGAATACCTACATAAATACATATATTGTGATATTCAACTAGAATAATTAGATTTTCTAGGCTGATAAAGAAATAATGGCATATTTTACAAATTATAAAAAGTATGATGAAACTAAAAAGTATATAAACTTTAATGGAGAAATTTTTGAGAATTTTATTAAATTTCATCATTTAGTTAGATATATCACGCTCATTCAATCCTTTAAGATTTATTTAGACCTTAATTTTTTTTCCATCAATTACTAATCCTCATCTTCAAATTTGCTAAAAACTCATAATTTCAAATATACTGTTGAAATCCAATGATAATAGAAAGAAAAAAATGCTAGCACATGAAGAACTAGTCCAACAAAGAATGAAATTAAAAACAATCATTTACTAAAAGATTTAACATTTTATGTCAGTCTTACTGTTTTTCTATCCGAAATTTATAATTTATAATTACTGTTCACAAAATCTTATAATTTTGAATATTTTCTAAAAACTTAAAATTCTTTCAAATCTCAACCAAAAACAAAAATTAAGTCTATAAAAATTATAAATTCTTAATATACGAATACAGTAAAATGTAAACTACACAAACCTTAATCATGAAACAATCTTTCAAAAAATTAATAACTCCGAATATTTGTAAGGAGTATTTTAAAATTTGCCAAAAAAAAAATAAAACTATTGTCAGAATAATCTTTTAAAATCTTAATTCAATGCACCACCTTATATTCAATCCAATACAACCCTACAATTGAATACAGGCTTTCAGCAAGGCAGCATAACAAGTCGACATTACCTTTCAAACTTTCATTCCGACGAACTCCAATAAAAAGAGATAAAAATGAATATAAAAAATGGGTGAAATCAGACTCGGATGCACATATGCGGGTCGGGCCTCCATAAAAGTTACGCCACCAACGTATGCAGCAGCAGCTTTTTCCATTGATGAATCCAAATTCTTGTTGCTGAAGGCCAGCAGCAGTTACTGGGCAGTAAATTCCTCTGATGTACAATACAATGGTTAACATCCCTGTTTAGTTTTCCTCGGAATGTGTAGAGACTTGCACTCCTATCACTTTGCTGTCATGCTTTCTCTTACTTCTACTACGCCGGGATCTAGGCGTTTTGGTCCTTGTAGAGGGCTTGTTTGTCTGCTCTTGGCTACCAATTAACACTTTCTCATTAGATGGCAGCTCAGGAGGAGTATCTGGCCATGGAGTGCGTTTTGATGGAATAGTGATGTCCAAAGGAGGGTCAATTATCCATCTGCATAAAGTAGAACCGTATACTCAGTTAGGGATACATAAATACATCTATTTGTTGGATGCCATATCATAAATTACAAGCACAAAAATCTGCATGATATGTGCCCAAATAAACAACTCCGTGATTTCCGTAGAAATTTTAGGGTCAAACAGGTTTTGGAATACATTTTCAGTTTATGTTTCTTAATTCTACACAAAAACTACACAGGTCATATTATTTATACAGTACTTTCTACTATGGTCAAACAAGGATGATGTTTCTGTAATTGTTTGTGAAAAGAGTAAATTCATGTACAACGATATTTCACATATTTGAGGAATAGCTTTCGTTATTCCCGGGAAGAACAAATTTCAGAATCCAGAAAATTGACTTGATAAAGAAAAGATGACAAAGACAATACGGTGCAGCCTTAAACAACGGTCGTTATTGCTTGCGTGTGATGTCTTGAAATCTTTAAAGATTGCGCTAATCGTGGAACTAAAAGCTCAATGTTCCTTCTTCCAGTTATTAATTACGTAACCTTTGGACAGATCTTAAATGTACCAAAATATTTTATTGATAAGGATACAAAAATCCCAATCGAGGCATTCGCAACAGATGCTTGGATATCATTGACAAGAAGGAATTGAACTAACAGACGTTAACCAACGAATACAATCGAACAAACCAGCATTCTTAGACTACCAAGACTATCTAAAGACTGTAACTTGCATACGTAACTGCGTGACTTTCAGTCAGATACTAATGGCTTGATAGAAAACCTGCAATTCTACACATTGTCCAGATAATTAAATAGTCAAGATGCCTGTAATGGAAACTATCCCTCAACCATGTTTCCATGTTTCAACACTTATATTTAGTAACCCCTGAAGACAACCAACACCTAGGGAGAGAGTCGTGTAGACTATCTAAAAGACGATCCCCTATATAAGACAAGCAAGACGAAGAGGGAAGAAAACTTTGTGCCCAATGACATTGAGTCGTTCAGTTTCTCACTATTGGAAGTGTGTACCCAGTGAGATATTTTCAAACCAGGATGAAAAATCTTAACAACTATGATAATATAGAACGTCAATAAAAATTCTGCACCAACTTGGCAGCAGCTTACCTTCTACGCTACATTCTGCTTACTTAGTCTTATATACCTGTATCATCATCATCTTAGCTGGTAATTCGGTAGAGTTCAATTAAGCTATAAAATTACAGATCGTCCTAGAAAATAAGTCTACACTCTACATCTATCGATGTCCAAATGTGAATGCAAAATGCAGCTATTCCAAATAAGATGATTCTAAGCACCGCGGTATAGGTTCACAATAAGCACATAACTGGTAATAGGTCTGTATTCTTTGGGCTTGACATCCTATCAAACACATTTAAATCTCGCACATATTCAAAATGGTTAAATATGCCAGATATCATGCAGAAAATTATAAAAAAAGAATGCCAGACATCTTAAGATCATCACAAATGAAAACTTCAAAATCAGGGAGAGGACTCACTGAAAAGGAAATTTGCTGTCTGTGCGGGCTTCAACCCGTAGCCACCAAAGCAAAACTTGACGTCCACAGTTCCCAAGCGGCTCTACCACAGACGTGCTCTTGAGCAAGGACAGTGGACTCTCTATTCCTTCATCAGCCCCATCTAATTCATCAAGATCTTTAACCCACTCTGGCTTATCATCAACATCCTTCCAAACCAACCTTGAATTTAACACAAACCCAGACCACTCGAGCTTTGTGGGCAGAACAGGTGCCTTATCATCAATATAAACCGCACTCCTTCCTGTATAACGCAGTGAATTGAAGGTGTGCCACCCAACCAACTTATCCGTGGCATTACAAGCAGGGCCCTGCACAGGCATAACCGCACCTTCCTCCTCCGTTTGAACCATGGATGAAGAATCATCCGAATGAAGCAATATTCCAACCGAAACAGCTCCGATCCATTTCACATTTTGTGCTTCATCAAACAACTCCATACTATGCATATTACTATCATCAGCAAACACCACAACTCCGTCCAGCTTCTCTTTTCTCACAACTCTGTTCAAAATCAATCGAACGCAAGTAAGTCTTCATGATGCATTTTCACTGTATTCTGTGATTATGCTTCGCGCACTAACAAAAACAGTACTCCATAAAGTTTCTACACTCAGCATAACAATAATAACATTAATCGAGTAAAAGGAGGTAGCAAAAGTTAACCTCAAAGCATGAAGTCGCATCCGAGACTCGAGTTTATGCCTAGCATCCCACGAATTTGGCATTCGTGGAGAAAAGCCAACGTGGATTGTTCTGAGGCCGGACTTGGCAATAATCGAAGCGGTTTCGTTGGTGACTCCGCCGGCCTCCACCACGATCCAAACCAGATCGTACGGCACCAGCATCAGCGTGTGCATCACACCAGTCAAGTGCAGCGTCTGGAACGTCCGAACATACGTTGGCGTCACAGCGATCACCGTCCTAGGGTTCTTCACCCCGAACAGCGACCTCTGCTCCCTCTGCACCCTCTCGATTATGCGGTGCGCTTTCATCACCTCCACGGGATCCGGGTGCGGCCACGGCCGGATTCGGATCCCGTGCCGCCCGACCACCACACGGCTCGCAGTGCTCACCGCCGCCGTCCTGTTCGCCGCCGGAGGAACGTTCAGCGGCGCCGCGATATCCGCTCCGCCGCGGAACGGGGCGGTGTAGAGACTGGTAGAGAACAGGAAGAAGAACACCAGTCGGGAGAAGCGGAAGCCAAGGACGAGACTGATGAGGCAGCAGAGACCGTGGATTACCAGCCAGAAAATCGCCGCCGGCGACTTCACCGCGCCGTCGGCGGACGAATCCAACTGCGCGGATCCCCTGAAGCTGTTGGCTCGGCGCGTGAGGTAACTCTGCTGCAACGCCGAGAGCTTCATTTTGTCCCTGTCCGTAGTCAAAGAAAGAATGTTGGCGAGTTGAAGTGATAACACACTTACGCTATTATATGTTTGGATTTAATTTTAAGATTGAAGTTCGGAGCAGAAAAGATAAGAGAGAGGGTTGTCGGTTGGAGATGGTGGTTGGTTTTAGGTTGCTGGTGGCTTTAGGTTGGTGCCCCTGTCATTTAATCATTCATCATTTCTTTGGGTTTAAGGATAAACTGCTTTCTTTTTCTTTTTTATTTCTTTTTAATTATTCTAACACCATCAATTCGGACACAATTAATTCTACATAATTCAAAACACTCTTGGCGTGATATCTGGTCAACGTTATAACAAACTCTTTAATTTCATCTCCAACCTTATTTTCAAAACTCTGTTGAGGACATTCCAAGCAACTCAAAAATAATAAACAAACAAATTTCTGCATAAAAATAACATGTGACGACACCGAAATTAATTACTCGTTTTTATTTCCAACCAAATGTTTGGAACTTTTTGTCTTTTATCTCATCTCATTTGTTTTTGTGCTATAATTTGTATCCAACACCCTAACCGATAGCTTCCCTCCACTTTCACTCAATTTCCGTTTCTTACAATTACAGCTTCTGAAAATTTCCGTTTTTTTTTCTCTTTCCAGATTCACGATATTCATGCAAATTGTAATCTTTTTCCTAAAATTAGGAGTGGTAGTGATAAAGGGTTAATTATAAACAGTAAAGTGTCAAAGTCTTCTAAAGCTATAACGTTAGATATCTAAATTGAAACGATTATGTTTTTCCATGTTGGTATGTTCTGTCCAATGTGAAACCTAACTATCTATAGTTGCCACTATTTCAGCTTGTTCAAACTTTCTGTAAAACCATCGACAACGTCTAAGACTTTTGCAAACATCACCTTGTGATTTACACATTCACTCTTTTGATTGGGTTTCAAAATTGGAACATGAAAATAACAGATTTGGTTGGTAAGTTGTGATATGTCAAAATCATCGGTAGCCAGAACAATATGCTTGCAAACTAAGAAATTCTTCTCACATCACAATAACTCCTTCCTCATATAAATAAAACACCTCTTTTTATTAGGTGCCTCGCTTGATTACTACATTTCACCGTTAATTGATTCATATAACATGTTTCTATATAAGCCTTTGAATTTTGGTGCCTTTGAATGACAATAACACAGGTCACAATACAAATTTTTCAAGGAACTCCTGCTTCTAGAGAGAGGATAATCTCAAAAACAATTATTTAAAAATACTGTATCATATAATCTCACTAAGTTTTTTTTTTTCAATTTGAGTCAACTCAATCTATTTAAGTTTATCAATTATCTGCTAAACTAAACGTATGAATAGGTTTAATTAATTTTAAAATAATCATTAATAGACCAAAATGTTTACTAATTTTATGAATAATTGTCTTTATCGAAAATATTATCAATTACTTTTTACTGAGATCTCCTTTCTGTTTTATATTTTGTTATTCAAACTATTCAAATTCAATACGTTATTTAAGAAAATCAAATATAATATAACTGGAATCAATAACTTATACCTGAGCATAGTTTTCAAGATAATTTTAAATATAAATAATATTCACAAAAAAATATTTTTTATCTTTACTGCAAACTAACATGTGTGTGTATATATATATATATATATATATATATATATATATATATATATATATAATAAAGAAGTGGAAGGGGGTGCATTGATTGTAAAAGTAAAGATTGTAAATTTTAAAAAGAAATAAAAAAAAAAAACTGGCATGAATAGATTACTAAACTTTGACTAGACAATTAAAATGCATGTTGTGTTAAATTAAGCAATAAAACAAATATCATGTTATATTTAACATTAAAAATAAATATTATGTTGAATTTAACGTTTACGACACTATCCACTATAAAATAAAAATAAACTACACGTTTGGTATTAGAGAAATTTTGAATCTGAATTAAATAGGGTCAAAATAAATTTAAGTTTAATTAGTAAAAAATTCAATTAAAAACATCTTATTCTTAAATTCAAGTTTAATCAGTAAAAAAATCATTTAAAAACATCTTATTCTTAAATTTAAGTATCTACTGGTGCTAAAAAAACACTATCACAAGCCAGTTATTCTCTCTCAATCCCGTTTAAATAATAAATAAATGATGTCATTTATTCAATTATTTATACATTTTTTACTTCATTTCACTTTTACCCCTTATTTTTATATTTATTTTCACATCAACAAGTACGGTACGCTGAAGAATGGGCCATTAAGATTTTTCAAAATGAAACATTAAAATTTTATTTACATTGAATATGCTTGTATACCGTATAAAATTATTAAGTTTTGATTTTGATTATTATTAAAAAGAATATATTTTTATTCTATAAAAATAGTCTTTATGCATTTTTTTTAACTTATTATTTATTCTCATTTTTTAAAAATATTTTTATTTTATTAAAAAATAATACTTTTTTTGCATCTATTAACTGACAAGTTTTATAAACCAACCCATTGGAATCCCTTTTTCACAGACCAAATGTGGGTGGACCAAAATCGGAGAGTAAACACTCCTTCTCTGAGATAATTATATGATAAGCCCAATTAAACCTACACAAAACTGTGGGCTATTACGTGGAATAGACATTTATATACTCTGTTGGACCCAGCTATTTTTTTATATATTCACAAGTAAATTCTCTTTTTTGTTTTGAAGATGATGGCCGTAACAAGCCAATTCAAAGTAGTCCAAAACAAAACAAAAAAACGTGTAAGAATTTGGTTTTTCAACTTATATCTTGATCTTATTTTTTTAGTGTGGTCTTACATGAAAATTACTCTATATGAGACTTGCCTTTTCTAAGTGATAGTATATTTTTGTAAAATAATTTGAAACGTGATAAATAAATTTGAATTACGCTTAAAACTTAAGTTATTTAGTTACCTAATTAAGATAGGTGTGAAATGTGTTCAAGGTAGTTTTAGATTCTATTTTTAGAAAATGTCACTTTAATAATTTTTTTTGATAATTCGTTAACAATAACCTATATGGTAGTATGTAATTAGTCCGTTTCAAATATATGGACCAATAAAATACTGACATATAATCTGTTGTCAAAAAATTGTTAAAATATTATGGTGCTATTTTTATAAAATCATAGTTATGTTTAAGTTGAAAAAAGTTATAGTAATAATTTGACTGGTCTAAAAAAATTAAAAAGAAAATTGGGTATTGTTTTTTTACTTTAGTGGAAAGGAAAAAGAAAAATATAGTGGTCCTATTTAGTTTTTATTCTTCTTCAACTTTTATCCCTCTTGTCTCAAAAGAACTAAGTAAGAAACAATGTGGAACATCTATAAAGAACAGTTGTATTGAGTAACCAAATTTAAAGTAAGAGAAATTAACTTTGTTTCAATATCTAAATTTGAAAGAACAATTTATGGTGTATAATTAATTTTCTTTTAAAGATTTTTTTTGTGGCACACGTAAATTTTTTTATGGTGATCTTTTAATATCATTAATGATTTTTCGAAAATATTTATTAAAAAAATACTCATAAGATTTAAGTCCAATTCATATAAATTGCACATCACTATTATAATCCTAAATCTTAAATTAATAGATTTATAGATATTATATTTTATAACATACTGACTTATATTTAGACTAAAAATTTTAACAAAAAATCATATTTAGTTCTATCTACTTCAATAAAGGAAGGGTAAAAGAAATATTTTCTAACAAATATTTCATCCGACTAGTGATGGAAACAATATCACCAATAAAAGTATTTTCAACTTCAATAAAGTGTAAAAAAATAAAGCAAAAAAACATATTTATTTTTCTAGTTTTTTTATGTGATTTTAGCCATAAAAACCAGTTTTCACAATGTAATTAACACATGGATTACGCCTTTTCAATACACATTCTAAAAACTAATTTTTGAAAAACTCACTTTTTTGTAAAAGAGAATATAAAAATGGAGTAAATAAGAAAAGAAAAATATATGGAAATGGAATCTCTTACGGTGAGCTTCTCTTCCATTTTGGTCAGGAAAAAAAAATCTGCTATAGTTTTCCTCACTCAAAGGACGTGGACCACTATTTTTTTGTTAAGTTATTCATTAAATTTTATTTATTTATATTCAATTTAAAAAAAAAGTATTTTTGTTATTTTATTAATAAAAATAAATTTTTATAGCCATTAAAATACTACTTTCCTTAAAATTAGAATTAAAATAATTTTCAAATAGTTTCTCAGAGCTATAATTTACATTATTAAAAGTTCTGTGACAATTTATACGTAAACCGTAAATATTATTGAGTTTGCCCTCTCAAGAATAATTGGAGAGTTACTCCCTACACCACCACACATTGCTCCCTGCACCACCATACTTTTTTTAAATTCCAAAACTATCCTTTATATTTTAAAATATCTTACACCTCCTCCTTTTCTCTTAAAAGGATGTCGACATCCGTTGAAGAAAAAATTCTTCAACAGATGTGCCACATCCGTTTAGTTTGGGAGTTTTTCATGTATTCTATTTGTCAAATGTTGGTAGTGAACGTTTTAGGTATTTTAACCTTTATAAATGAGTTGTTTTAAATTGTAGGTAATTCAACTCATGTTGCAGTTGCAATTTTTGTACGAACATGCTAACCTATTTTGAGAAATGTTAAAGTATGCATTCTTCTTATGACGTGTGCTAAAGAAAATTTTAAATCCATTTTTTATTCCTACTCTGTGCTTTTCATGTATGGTTAGTCAACTTTCTTCTATGACTAAGAACTATCACTAATGCTGAGATGGTTGATTGCTCCCTTCTCTCACAACATCGTGCTTATTGCTTAATGTAATCTATTCATGAAACAATGTTTTTTTTCTTCCTTGTGATGTTTGTAGGAACTTGGTGGAATTAGCACTGGCATAGAACGACAAAAGACTTTGCTGCAGGAACGGACGGATGTCAACATCCGTTGGAGGTGAAACGGATGTTGACATCCGTTTTAGAGAAGGGTAAAATTGGTATGGGATGGTGCAGGAGTATTCGGTGGTGGTGGGGGAGCAACTGCCAAATAATTGTTCATTTTGATAAGTAAGCCCAGTTATAAGTGGGCTATTTGAGTGACGTACATATCCATGCGATGGCTAGACCCAACCAAAACACGCACACAAGTCCAAGTACAAATAGAAT